GTTTCTGCACACGCAAATACATAACTATATCTTGGCCCCCAACAAAACAAGTAAGATTGCTAGTCTTACTAGCCTGGCTAGTTACAAGGGTTAATGCAACTTGGATTGAAAGTATTAGTTGCGACAAAAGAAATAAAAGTTCAAAGGTAGTGTGTGTGTGTGTGTGTGTGTGTGTGTGTGTGTGTGTGTGTGTTGTATTGTGTTGTGTGTGTGTGTGTGTGTGTGTGTGGAGTACTCCTTAGAACATATCAAACCCTTAGTAAATTCCCCCTCCCCCAGCCCCGCTGCCCCGCGCCCTCCTTCTCTCCTCTCCTCTAGTTAATGTAGACCGGGACGCCGCTAGTCAGCCTCTCCTCCCTCTAGTTCCTCCAGTAATTCTTTAATTTGTGTTGGTCCAAGAAGTTTTGTTGAACCTCTAGATCGGTACGCGTTGATCGATGATCATCTAGAGAAATTATCACGGCTGGCTAGGAGGTTCAACCTAGCTGCGGGAATCGTCGGTATTCATCAATAATCTACTCTGCTTCCGCTATGTTCTAGTTAGTGAGGGTGATCGTTACCCGCATCTTCATAGTGTTATGTGATCGTGTACATGGTTTTTTTGTTGCGTAGCACGTCCCCATATGACAAAGGCATGCTTCATTTGAGAGAAGACGTATATTCTACTGGTCATCAATGTGAAATTGGTGGCATCGGTGCTGCTATACTTTTGGCAGCGTCATTCGGGGAAAATAATGAAAGAAAGAGGGAGAGAGGACAATCGTGGTGAAGAGAAAGGGGAGAAAAGACCACTAGCTATTATTATTAAGTTGTTAGAGGCGGTTTTGATACAAAATCTCCTATGGCCAAGAGTCCTTAGTGGTCATTTGATATCGTGACCACCTTACATGATTTCTTCAAGGTAGTTATATTATATTAGCTTCTTGAGTTAGGTTCCTAAGAAATCCATGTGCGTTAGTTTTTAGAGGTGGTTGATTTTTATTTTTAAAACAGCCTCGACATGCTGATTCTAATGGACTACTTTGTATCCCCATTAGCATTATTTGCTTAAGCAGATGGCTTAAGAACCATTGGCAATTAAAGTTGTTGACTTCTCATTATTGCGCCTTACACAGAACATCCAACAAAATTCAAGTTAGATCATACCTGCTCTAGAGAAATGTGTGACACATGACTTTACTACTTTGACTAGGATTGACTTAACCTTAGGTTATTTCCAAAGCAGGAGTTCACTGTTTTTTTCTTGGTGCCATAAGCTGAAGTTGTGTTTATTGTAGAGAAATGTGAATTATATTTCGCTAATTGTGGGTTTATGTGTCTTGAAAGAGCATTTTCTATGCTAGTTTCTATTGTGCGTAGGCTAGGGTTACAACCTCCTTTTCAAACAAAGAGTTTCTATTGTGCATAAAGGTCTTCGAGAGTCTTTATAGATATCACCAACAAATTAGCATATGTCTTATACATAGGACATGAGGTACAGATCTTGTCGATCCAACTATAAGCCGGAGCCACCAGCTTGTAGTAGTGGCGAAATGCTCAGAAGAGAATAAATGGATTGATCATGCTCAAAAGTCCCAACATCAAAACGGAAGAACCAATAATTCTCAAGCTTCAGTGCCGTCTGTGCTACTTCTTTCAGTGCCTTATCCATTTCATGCCTCAGGAAAATGTCGATGTACTTGTTATCCCTAGCCATCATCCAGTTCATTTGTTGAATCACCACCCTTCGAATGCCCGGAGCATCGGAAGATGGCGACTTGTACAACTCCAGTATCTTCCTAAGCATCTGGACGAACATATCGTATGTAATCTCGGCACTCCTCAGCGCGTTAGTGAATTGCTTTGCATTCCCGCTGGTGCAGATTTGCATGCACAGGCCAATAAAGCTCTCCAGCAGCTTGCCTTGTTCATTTATCATGAGCGCCTCCATTTCCTGCATATGTAGCACTTATAATTTCAAGGTATTATTCCAAAGGAAAAACTAACAGAATTGGAAGAATGGTCCTGTGATTTCACTATCTTAAACTGGGAGGATGGAGAACTCTATTTTCTTACATGACCAGAAGGTTCACCAGGACCACCGACCCCTTCTATTTTATCCAATGCATGTTTAATTGCTTCCAATACCTGTGAAAGTATTCATATACTAATCATCCCCAAAAGAACAGACGAACTATTTCAAGCATAATAGACACATGTTTGCTTTGTTAGCTGAAAAAATGCTTCGGCAAAATCAAGTGTTAGATAATCCAAAGCCAACCATTTTAACTTGGGAAAGTTGTATTGAGATCCCATGTAGGTCTAACCTTATATCGACTGTCCAATTTTGCATTAGAGTCTGTGCATAGATACTTCTCTTTTTTCTCTCCCAAGCAAGAAAACAACCGAACATGAAACTTTGCAGGTCAACATTACACAAGTATTATGTGCAGCAATTGTTTCTGGTATTAACATTTCAGAAATTTATGTTGTAAAATATCTAAACATTTCCTGCACAGAGTAGTACATGTGTGATGTTGACCTGTAAAGTTTCAAGTTCAAATGTTTGCTTCTTTGGAACAAACCCAAAAAGAAATTTTCTATGTAAAGATAGCACAAATATTGAGATGAAACTTGATGATCCAGATAAGAGGGGTGCATCTACATGTGTGCTCGGAGTAGGGGTGAAAAATAGATGGAACATAATTTTCAATTCCAAGTTTTGAATCAGGATAGAAAATGCTTAGCATTTACCTTCGGTAGAGCTTTGTTCACTATCTCCAACTGACCACCGTAATGTGGTCCCTGGTAACCCCGAAGATTCTGCAAAAATCTCGCCACCATAATTCTATGCTCTGCGGACTCTTCGAAGAGTGTAGACACAATCCGTTGCATGTCTTGCAGCTTAGTTTCTGACAATATGGCCATGATGCTCCTTCCACTCACTGCGTTGAGCATAGCATTTTCATTGATAGGAGCACTGAGCAATACTAATGCTTCGACCGCCGACATTTTGACTCCGGTTGACACTCTCAGAGAGCTTTCTTGGCCTTCATCACTATCTTCAGCTAGGAGACTAATGAGTTTCCAGATGATTAGGTGTGATCTTTCTATCTCCTTCCTGGCACTGTCATTTAAAGCTAGGCATGCAAGGATGTCTGCTGCTTGAGCAAGCATCGCTGGTTGGCTTTCAGCATAATCTATGAAGAACTTTCTGATATTCTGTATGGTGTGTATATTCTTGGCTACTTGGCACCTGAGCTCCTCACCGGTCTCACCAGCTGTGCTCACAAGCTTGCGCAAGACATTTAGTGAGTTCTCGACTATAATTTTATCAATATTAGAGTCTAGAGTTTTTTCATCCCAACAATTTGTAATGTCTAGGATCTTGGACAACATGTTCTTGGCATTCTTTGCCTCCACACAGTTTTCCGGATTAGTCAGGAGTTTGTTAAGAATATCTACACCAAGCAACGTGAGCTCTTTGCTTGTGCTCACACGGATTGAGTTGCTAAAGCTCCCACTGATCGTTGCCTTGTGTGTGATAATTAGTGAAGAAATAGACTGGAAAATACCAGGAAAGCTCTCTACCTGAAGGTCAGGGGCGACCTCCAGCAGCACACGCGCAGCATGCCCCCTGGTGTCTTGTTCCACTTCTTTCTTCAAGCCAAGCATGTAGACTGCTTTCTCGACAGTATCAAGAGAAGATCGAATCTTGGTGAGCACCATTGCTTTGTGTTCCTTGATTCTTAGGAGGTGGTCAAGAATACGAATTCCTAGCAGCTGGTCATCCAGTGCGTTAGAGGTCAACTTCTGCTTTGCAAAGGAAACCAAGTCCATGTTGACTGCCTCATGAAGATCCCCACTGATGCACTTTAGAAGGCATTCCTGTAGATAGCGAGCAATAGCTAGAAACCCCCAAACTCCTAGCTTATATTTCAAACAAACCACAAACATCCGTTTCAATGGGCTTGCCACTATCGCACTCACGAAATAGAGAATGCATTGGCTGAGCACCAATGCGTAGAATATGTTCAGGGACTGCCTAATGTTCTTATGATCATCGTCCTCTTGATTCTGAGCATCAACATAATCTTGCCTTTTTAGACGCAATGAAGACATAACAATACAAGCAATGAGTGCGGCAAGCTGCACATACCCGATGAGACTTGAGTAAAGGAATCCAAAACAATAAGATCTACCAGAGGCAAATGCAGTTTGTAACTCAGGCATTGCGATCAACTCATCTATGGAATCTTCAGTGGTTGCATGTCTCCGCCAGCTTCCACGCCCCAGAAGTGCAACGTTTTCTGCGTTTACCATTGTTTCAGCTAGGCGAAAGAAGAACTGGTCCTCAGGTTTTGCATTGTTGAAAAGCCTGGCAATTAAAATACAAGTATGCAAAATTAGTTCAACATATAATCATTGGTTTGGTGATCCTTATAACTCACAAATCACAGTTAGTGGATCTTTATTGGAACACAGTTAATAGATTTTGTCTTATTAATTTGATCTTAATACAACACCCAATCAAGCGTTTGTACCATTTATTTGGTGAAACATCTGTTCCATAGATCACAACCTTTCAGTTTGATCTACTCAAATCAAACTAGCCTATTAGGGCACGAAGTCTTGACCGATGGCGATGCACCCTTCTCATATTGAGGCCACTTAGAAGAGAAATGCACCCTTCTAACAGTGAGGCCACTTAGAAGAGAAATGCACTTACAGGGAGGCCATTTAGAAGAGAAATGGAAGAGAGAAAAGACTATATCTTGTGATTTGATCCACTGTGCCAGGTGTAGGGTCTAATATCTCGGCAATTTCATACGGGAGGGGGCGGCCAGTAATTGAATTTTACTAGATGGTAAGAAACTCTAGTTTCACAAACAATTATCATTTTTATCGATGCAAATTTACAAAAAAGGTTTCATTCAAACTGGTAGGATTTGACAACGTGGGAACTTGGGGGGAGGGGGGTATGTGCGGACCGATAACCATCAATATTGTCTAGTTACTGGGACATCGACTAGATGATATCCTTTCCGAAATGTGTTTTTCAATCGATGTATAGTTTTATGTGTTTGTACATATAGATAATACACTTGACCATGCGCATTTCATTCAAGTCTCTTCTTCTCCTCCTTTAGTGCATCTACCTTCTCTCTTGTGATGTCACACACCTTACGGCTCGATCTCATCAGACAATCTCCGCTCCAATGCCCCGAGGTTATTTCAACAACACAAGATAGCCTAATTTAGTGTGTCAAGGGTGGTGGATCTGATAGCCTAACCCTAAAACAACCTTTCGTATGATAATCTTATTTTGAAATATAAATAATTTTGCCCAAATTTACATGAAGTTATCCAAATCAACAGATTTTTGTAGGTATGCCCATTTGTTGGAGGGTAACAACATATTCAGAAAGTTAGATATTATCAAAACGCTAGCGCCACAAACAAGGTTAGGTATTAATTTATACATGCAATATTTTTTATCAATCATTAATGTAATTCAATTTTAAGTAAAAATTACATCACGCCGAAACGTATATCTTGGACCTCCTAGCACACCAATGGGAGTTGGGCCAATTCTTACCCTGCCTAATGATTGCATGAATTTGATGAATTCAAAATCTCAAGTTTTTGTTTCATTGACATTTTTGCTAACTTCAGATTTTTAATTGTTGGCTTTTATATTTTCGATATTTTTATCTTTCTTCGGTGCAGTCATTTTCTTGTCCAAAATACTCTCATTTTCTTTTGACAAGCCAGCAAAATTGTTCATTTCATTCAAAAACTTGTTCCTTCCATTCAAGTATTTGGTTCGTGTTATTATGAATCATAGTCAAAAATTATGTTGATTATGCACACAAATTAGTTATTACTTTTGAATTCTTTGTTTATTGCATTCAAATATTTATTTCACGATATTCATATTTTTAGTTCATCGATCACTGTCAAATATTTGGTGCACGGTAGTCAAATGTTAGGTTGACCACATCAAAACATTTTGTTGTCCGTAATAAAATACTTGAATCACCAAATTAAAAATTATGGTTCGTAATAGATAGGTTTATTCAATACATAAGATCATTTATTTCCTTTGTGGATAATATATAAGATTAGATAAATAAAGAAAAAACAAATAAAATAAGGGGAAATATTACAAGATAAACTAAATCATAAGCAAGCAAAGAATAACAAGAAACAAAATACACAGATGAAATATTACAAAATACCGGGTGAAAACCTTGGAAAAAAGCAAAAGTCCGCTTCTATGGTTAAATACGTATAGAGTAGAAATCCAACATAATCTATACCTATACTTTTTTTACCAATAAAGCAAGGTTATGTTCTTGGTTTCGTCCCGGTGGTTAGTCCTTTCAATAATGTTTACAGAAAAGCCCCTATATTTTTTTATAGTCAACCTGCACTACATAAATATAGTACGTCACGAGCTCGCGTGTTGCCTGTGCCACGTTGGGCCATTGTAAAAAATATTTGCTCCATGTGTGGGTCCAACTCGCCACCTCCCAACCCTGTGCCGAACGCTATAACCAAGTGTGCTGAGATAAAGCTTATGTTGCAGATTTGGTTAGCTAACTAATTAAATAGTCCGACCCCAGTTTTCTACAATAATTTCCATCAATTTATATACCTTGGTGAGTTATCTAGGGCAGCAACAAGCAGCTTTAAGTTACCTTGGTCTCAGGCGCCGCCACTCCGATGGACAACCACTGGAGGGCCTTGTGATTATTTGCCTGGACGCGAGCACCACGATGACAGCTAGGAAAAAGCTAGACTTATGGATGAGTTGATTTGGCTAGGAACATTGGACTGGAGAGAGTGTGAGAGGTGAGTAGAGATTGAGATTGAGATTTGGATCGGAAGGGTGGTGATGGTGATTGGGATACGTCACTAGCACTTCCATGAAAAGAGTACTTGACCTTTTATTGGGATACGTCGCTAGCACTTCCAAATGATGTGTGCTACCTTGCGATCTCCCCTTGCAATGCACGGGCATGTTTGATAGTGTCTTCTAATTGGTGTAAGAATGGTTATTCTGTCCAACCATTTGGAGGTTTTTTTAATCTTATCATCGCTAGCGTCGCTCATGGTCAAATCACTTGGTCACGATTCACTCCCATGGGTAATCATCACCTTTGTAATAACTAATTAAAGACTATGTGCATATGCAGATGCTGGGGTTGTTGCCTACCCTCTTTCCATAAGAAAAATGATTCACTCCCATGGTGGTAAGGCATGTACACTTCACTAATCACTCTTGCATTATTACAGCAGGAAGATTAATTGCTCTTTTTGAACACAAAAAATTACTGCAAGATAAATCTTAAGAAAAAAGTAAATATGTCAAAAGGGATTGATTCATGTGTAAAAAGAATGAGTTAGATATTTCAGTAAAGAAAGAATGAGTGAAATACCAGGTAGCTTCCATGAAGACGATGATGGTTACGAACCAGAAATCCTTCTGCTTGATCAGCGTGGAGAATCCACCGAGCAGCACCACGGTGGCCCAGATGAAAGCCAGCGCACCACAACCACTCATCACCTTTTGAAAGAACGCCATCCGGAGGGCCATAGTATTGATCTTCTTTTCTGGCAGCTTGTGATCATATTTCAGAGGGTTGTGCGGGCTATTTTCTTGGTTCATTGTTGTGGCC